CGAACAAGAGGTAACCTCCGTCGCTCGCCAGCAGTCCACGGGCACTCCTCCCAGAAGATAGTCCCGAGCGCGAATGTAATCAGCGATGTCCGGTGACAGATAGATATCCAAAACACACCTACTTCACTKTCATGCTTGCTCATACATCKRACTCGCCCAACCCTTCGGCGTCGCCTCCGTTATTTACAACCSCACTCGCACGTTCGCGTYGTCATRAATKAGAGGCATAAAGCAACTCCGACACGGTATRTATTTYTGTWCCCAGAAGGCACTCGGAATACGTGCAGAACCTTTRCKAAGGTWYCCGTCAACCGTCYAGTAGCAGAGTGCAAAGYCGGYGCTCATCCAAGATGCAACSGTCAGAAMCAACGTACAKAGTCCRCATAGGGGGCCAAATTCATGAGTTATCAAATAACTCCAGGCCTCTCGTCAGGCCGAACCTGAGCCCARAATTCATAYSGATGAACCCCKYCATMGTATRTATCCTATAAAACGGACAGATGCATGCAGAGGAACTCRCTAGAGACCCTCGCAACCRTTTMTGTCTGGTTCAGTCTCAACTCCCAGTCACCCATCAGCCCGGGGCTACCCGTTCTCCTACTGAAATGGAAACATAKCCYAAAACCGAAAAAACAAYKGCACGAGTGRAAATTYAAMATACAGCACCCATCCCTCYCATTGGTATCTATCACAAAAGGATGTAGTGTACATGGCCCCGTARGGCCTGCTTGGCAAAAAGGCCAAGCCCCTAATKAAAACATTCGGCTACTACTTCCGCCACCTGTCCTCCCATCTCCCCTGCAAAACGCCGAAACGTAGRTGCAATGAGCCGGTGCGGATAAYCCCTCAAGATCAATTCTCRTTTCATTGCYAACAACGCTTCATATTGTCCCCAWGTATCCRACATTAAYCGAAACCCGATGGAGCGTGTTAATCATAGCCCRWATCTTGGCCTGCTTACCARAATAGGAARAGTAGYCCTGAAAACACCCAAATGCTAATTCCCCCKCATCCCAAATGCCGATCGYATTCTTAAGAAGCACTACCGTCCGCCATCTCACGCCTATCCKAGTAAYATTAATCTCTGCAAACGTCCAGGTGTCGCCTCCGTCATCCGTACGAATTAATCGCAACGACCTGCCATASCAKTTGMGGAATTTCWGCAAAATYGCCTCCGCYCTTTCGTAGCCATTGATGCCAACGACCGCAACAAACATCGAGACATCATCTACTATTCGAAACCCACACACTAGCCGTCTATCCATCCCAAGGCTAGCCAAGAAACTCCATTCAGCATAGGARCACAAAATGCAAGCCAACGGACAACTGGATGATTTCCCCATAGGCACCCCAATTTTCTGCTGCAATAGCTCCCCAGCCAAATAGATAAAAGTGAAAGATAGATCAAACAGAACCATCAATCTGATAGATTCCAAAGGGACAAAAATACACTAATCCCGGGCACCACCATATGACAGTCAGGCTTTGCGGCCCCTTTTAGCCACCTTTACACCCTTGCATCCCTGACCACGATGACGCGTGATCAGCCATTCCAATGCTTGCATAATGTCCTCATGAGGCAAGGAAACAAACATATCGTTGATATCAAACGACGCCGATAGAAGATCATGATAACCATGAAACTTCCGAAAACTTTTGTCCATATTCCGCATCTCAGGAAGGAACTCCATCATTGCCCTGAGATTGAAACTTGTGGAAGAAGGCACGACATAGAGCAGACAATTCAAAGTTTTTGCTACCCGAGCACTAGCCAATCACGAAGGTTCATAGCAGGTAGGAGAAATCGGCCGCCATCGCAATAGATCCTTATGCTTAGGTAGCACATAAGCCTCCCCGAAACGACCGCCTTGATCCCACTTACCTAACCTTCCGAGTCCATACTCATCAAATTTAGTCCGCATGTTAACATATACCTCCTCGAGGCTACCCGAAAACGGACAGAAAGCCACATTCCAATTGAAAGTCAGGCGAAGGTAGTGCCGATAGATCAACGGGCACACCACCAAAGTGTCCGAAACATTCCTATCGATAGGCACACATRCAAAGTTCCTTAATCGTTYATACCAGGGAATCAACAAARCGTCTGTTCGTGACATGYCAGGTTCATCAATCCAGCATTCAGACAAGTCCCGCCTGTCAATGACATATTCTGAGCGCAAATATGATRCAACAGCCGACATTTGCTTCCCTWGTTCAATTAYTCCATTCGAAGGTCGGATCCTAGGAATGTTACRAGAATTGCGGAGCAATGGCGGAACCCCTGGAATATCTGCAATCCGAGAGAACACATGCATTYCCRAACGTGGCCAGTAAMGCTCAAGATGACATACACAAGAGAYCTCATCCCCAGTTCTACATGCTTGATGAAAGTTCCACAGATAGCCTGAGATCGGCCGATTCTTCCGCCAAACAAAACGGAGCTTCTTCGTAATAAGTTCCCTGATCGATAYTGGTAATGTGGAAAGTTGCAAGATAYGCAATAACAAYGAATGCACTCGCGCACTACTCAKCGTGTGGTCATWGTGCATCCTAACAAGTACACGTCTCCGCACATCAATACCAATACGACTTTTAATAGCCYTAGCCAAAACAMCTCGYAGGGCTGTACGTGTGACTTTCTTTYGGAAAACAAGAATCGCCCTATACCATCGCACCAGTACCTCCACTGGTCGGAATTTGAGCAGCCGGCGACGCCAAGGTTGCCTCAAAAGAGAAGACAGATGCCCCTTACAGATTTCTCTACCATTCGGGGCGAAATGGATAGGACCAGAAATCCATACCCCTCCCTCTTGTAGCTCATTNAAAAGAGAAGACAGATGCCCCTTACAGATTTCTCTACCATTCGGGGCGAAATGGATAGGACCAGAAATCCATACCCCTCCCTCTTGTAGCTCATTATAAAGATCGCATAACAGAAACTTAGAACGTCCAACATACACGGTGGTATACCCAAAACAGCGACGTACCACCGACCGAGCTTCAACCCAAAGGTTCCCAGGGTATATCTCAATCACAATCTCCCGTTCCCGTCTAACAAATGCATCACGAAGTAGAGGGGTCAAACAATCAGACCACAACCCATTCCCAATCCGAAACTTAAGGAGACCATGGGTCGCAAGGGAATATGTCTTACCTTTCCGTTTAATTTGTGAAAGCCGGACAGATCGTTCTTGCACCTTCCTACGAGAGTTCAAAGAAGGAGAAAAATTCTTAATCAAGGCTTTACCCGTGGTTTCGACAGAAGCTACATCGTTAACCAGAGGTACCGAAACATACTAAACAGCCCCAAAGCATTTGAGCCAACAATATAGCTTAGGGCACACACCCAATCCATCGAGTCGGACCGTACGTAGATGTTCCCCCCATCGTACCCAAATCCCACGCATCGTACAACCTATGTACTGTGCTCTACACCAAGGAAACATAAGAAGATGCACAACAGGTCCAGATTCCCATCTATCCCAATTGACAGAAAGAAGCAACGTACGAAACTTTGACGCCCAGGTCACCTCACCCAATATAGCCAGTGCAACAAAAACCAGCGTAACACACTTATCATACAAAGTTTTCAAACGGAATGTGAGACCAGCCGTCGAACCCTCATACATTCAACCAGGTTAGACCATAGTCTGAATCGGGCATAATCATTCAGTCACCTGCTCGGAGTTTGCTCCTCCGATGTAGTGGAAGGTGTAGACACTGGTGTGAACACAAATCCTTCATACGCCATTTTTACCCTTGCCTCGATGATACGTTCGATGGTAGGCGCCTTCGTAGTGTAAGTAACTCCCTACATCTCACAAATAGTCTTCAACTGATCTTCTTCTTCGCAGCGAGCACCTTGCGCTGCTCCAAAATGTAAGCGAGTATCCCTTCAGGCCCGCTACCTGCAGGAACCTTGGTGCACCCCCGCTCCTCGCCCATTCTCGAAGATTCCCCCGCCACTAGAGGATCATGGATCGTCGGAATATCCCGTTGGAAAACAGGTTGCCGAAATTGGCGCCTCAGGCCAGGTTCCAAAGGACCTTTGCCTTTTCTCTTCCTCTCTTGCACCTCGTAGAGCTTCGCAATTTCAACTTCAATGTCCTCGATCCCCATATTAGAGTAATCAGGGTTAACATGGACAGATTGAGGGACATGCCTTGTTGGCGACCTAGTACCTACCATCCTGACCTCCTCCTTACGAGCCTCCTCCTTCGCCGCTAAGTACTGCCTACCGAATTTTGACATGACCCTCGCCTCCAAAGCTTCCAATTTTCTCTCAATCTCCTGCCGGATAATCTCATCCATCTTCTGTTTCTCCTCCAACTCCTTTCTTCGTGCCTGTTCCTCCTTCTTCTCTTGGATCATCTGCCTCAAAAACTCACGTTCTTCCGTATCCTCCTGTCTCCGAGGTGTCCAATATCTAGGCGTGGAATTCCCGCCAATCCCACTACCTTGCGGCGTGCGTTGAGAGGGACATTCCCTGGCGAAATGCCCTTCTCCTCCGCACATGAAACACTTGTTCCCTCCCCCTGTCGCCATCTCCCAACACCCCTCACGTTCGTGATACCTCCCAGGCTTCTGTATCCCACAAACAAAATCGAAAGTACTATAACAGCCCAGTTCTTAGTAAAATTCGGAATATGGCAGACCACTCTCCTACTTACCTAGAGTACATTCCTACCCTGTTCATTCATACGTAACAGCCGAGAGAGCGTCTCAATCAGTTCTGCCTGACTAGAAACTTCAGCGATCGTGTAGTTTCGTCGTACACGATGACAATTCGAATCAGCACGTCCGCTTCCTCAAACCAGAGAGCCAACTTAAGCAAAACTCTATCTGTAACGATGACGTGACCACCACTCTATGTGCAATCTCATAAGAGGTTGTCACGCAATTCCAAAGGAAGGAAAGACTGTCCGACATAGACAGTTGCAGCATGAGAACGATGATAGAGAAAGATACACGCTGAAATCTACACCGTTACGCATGCATATAGAGCAAGTAACTGAAGTACATGATTATACCAGCACCCAATCCTTATACAAAATGGCACCAGTATTGAAAAAACACACGGTCACCCTCGACACGTTTCGTCTACCCCGTTCGTAGACTCATCAGGAGGTACTCGGTAAGTACTCGGTAAGTACTACACATTGCTCCACGGAGGTCATTCCTACTGCCTTGCCTCCTTTATACTCATCCTACACCAACTCGAACCTCCATCCGAACCGACCCCACAGAAATCTCGGATGCACTAAGTACCAATATCCGAAGAACTCTCAAAATCAACGGCACAGACATCCAAAACGATCCACACCCTCTGATGTCCAGACAGCTGTACCGAGAGGAGCCATGTCGAAGTTGTGATCACGCCTGCACAGCACAGAAAACACACAAGCCAAAAAGAACACAACACAAACACACAGCCGAACAAGAGGTAACCTCCGTCGCTCCCTACCAGTCCACGGGCACTCCTCCCAGAAGATAGTCCCGAGCGCGAATGTAATAAGCGATGTCCGGTGACAGATAGATATCCAGAGCACACCTAGTTTACTGTCATGCTTGCTCATACATCTGACTCGCCCAACCCTTCGGCGTCGCCTCCGTTATTCACAACCGCACTCGCACGTTCGCTTCGTCATGAATGAKAGGCATAAAGCAACTCCGACACGGTGTATACTTTTGTTCCCAGAAGGCACTCGAAAAACGTGCAGAACCTTTACTAAGGTACCCGTCAACCGTCCAGTAGCAGAGTGCAAAG